GGTCCTTGGAGAGGGACATCATGCTTGGGAGGGTGGAGGGACAGCGCAGGAGGGGAAGACCCCCTATGAGACGGATTGATTCAGTGACTGGGGTAATCGGGATGGGTGTGTCAGAGGCAGTGCGATTGGCATAGGATAGAGCAGGGTTTAGGGCTGTTGTACATAGGGTCGCTATGAGAAGCAAACGACTCGACGGCAAATAACAACAGCCCCAGACTTGCCTAGTGTGGTCAGCTACATGGGCTCGGTGGCCAGTTACATGCTCCAGGACTCGCTCAGGAACTCTCAGTTCCCATGACTCACACTGCCCACTCCTCAGGCAGGTTTGTATGGGTGATCTGGCCTACCCGGCTGATTTAGCAAAGGTGATGAAAGCTGTGGAAGACCATGCTGGACAATGACTCAAGGCATTTTCCATGCAAGGGAGCTGTCCAGGTCACATCTGCATTGCAGAACTGGGTGAGTGGGGCAGGGAGACACAAGTATTACACAAAGTCCAAATCACATAATTTTCTATTTAACAAATGTACTGTAAAGTGACAACAGGGAAGAGAAGTGGCACTTAAAAAGGACGTTGTTGTTAGGTGCCATTAAGTTGACTACAACTCATAGCAACCCTATGAACAAAAGATCTGAACCCAGTCCTGTCCTGCCCCATCTTCACACTTCCTGACACAAAAGCCCACTGCAGCAGTCGCCTTGTTAGTCCACCTGGTTGAGGGTCTTCCTCTCCCAAGCCAATGCTCCAACCTTCCGAACATCATGTTCCTCTCCAAGGAATAACACCTCCTAGCAATATGTCCAAAGTATGTGAGGCAGAGCCTCATCATTCTTACCTCCACAGAGCACTCTCTACAAGGCGTATCTAATGGTTTTCTTGGCCATCCAGTACTCTTCTCCAACACCACAACTCAAAGCATCAATTCTTTTTCTCTCATCCTTATTCACTGTCCAGGTCTAGGGCACACAGCTAGTAATTGGAAAGACCATGGCCTTAATCAGACTCACCTTAGTCCTCAAACTGTTATCACTACTCAATAATTTGGAAAGGTCTGTAACTGCAAATTTTGCCTTTGCAACGTGTCTCCCTACTTCCTACTAGTACTAAGGGTGTTAACTGTGGATCCAAGCAAGATGAAGCTGTTGATAATTTCAATCTCTCCATCCATCATGACATTGCCTATTGGACAAGTAGTAAGAATCTTTGTTTTCTTGATATTGAGATGCAATCCATACTGAAGGCTGCATTCCTTGATCTTCTGCAACAAGTGCTTCAAATCCTCCACACTTTTAGCAAGTAGAGCTGTGTCATCTGAATAACACAGGTTATTGACGGGTCTCCCACCAATTGTGATGCCACATTCCTCTTCAAAGAGTCCAGTTTCTCAGATAATTTGCTCAGCATATAGACTGAACAGGTTTGGATACAGAATACATTCCTGATGCACTCCCTTCCCAATTCCAAAGCGTGCAGTACTCCCCTGCTCTGTTTGCACAACAGCCTCCTGCTCCAGGTATAGGTTCCTCATGAGCACAATCAAGTGCTTTGGGATTCCCATTCTTCTTTCTCAATGTCAACCACAACCTGCCATGATCCATACAGTCAGAAGCCTTTGCACAGTCAAGAAAATACAAATAGACATTCTTCTGGTATTCCTTACTTTCAGCCAGGATCCATCTGCTCTCAGCAATGATATCCTTGATGCCACAACCTCTTCTAAATTCTGCATGAACTTCTGGCAATTCCCTGTGTACTGTTCCAGCCATTTTTGAATGATCTTCAGCAGTATTTTGCTAGCATGTGTTATCAATGATATTGTTCGATAATTTCAACATTCAGTTGGATCACCCTTCTTGGGAATAGGACAAATATGGATCTCTTCCAATCTATTGGCCAGCCAGCCATCCTCCAAATTTCCTAGCATAGGCTGGTGAGTACATTCAAGGCTGCATCTGTTAATTTAAATAAGTCAACTGGTATCCCATCTATTCCTGGGGCCTTATTTTTTGCCAATGCCTTCAATGCAGCTTCCACTTCCTCTTTCATTTCTATTGGATCCTCTTCATATAGTACTTCCTAAAATTTTTCAGTGTCAGTTCTTTCTGGTAGTGCAACTGTGTATTCCCTCTATCTTCTTTTGATGCTTTCTGAGTCATACAATATATTGCCCATAGCATCTTTCAACATTCCAACACAAGGCCTAAATTTTTTCATTCTTTCAGCTTGAGAAATGCAGAGCGAGCTCTTCCATTTTCTTTCTCCATTTCCAACTCTCTGCACGTTATAATATTTTGCTTTGTCCTCTCGAGCTGCCATTTGAAACCATCTGTTAAAGCTCTTTGACTTTGTCATGTTTAGATTTGGCATCTCAAAGTTCCAGTGCAGTCGTTAAGAGTCTCTTCTGACATCTATTTCAGATTTTTCTTTCTCCTGGTTTTGTTTTCTTCATGGATGATATCCTTGCTATTATTACACAACTCATCTGGTCTTCTATCATTGGTGTTCAATGCCTCAAACCTATTCTTAAGATGATCTTGAAATTCCAGTGGAATTAAGATATGATCTGTGGACTGATTTTCATTTTTGGGGGGCCACAATTTGAACTTGCATGAGTAACTGATGATTTGATCCACAGTCTGCCCCCAGCCTAGTTTTGACTGCTGATATGGAGCTTCTCCAACTCTTTCTTCCACAAATGTAGTCAATCCGATTTCTATGAAGCCCATCGGGTGAAATCCACGTGTAAAGTCATCTTTTGTATCTTTTAGAAAAAGTATTTGCAATACATAAATCATTGTAAATACAAAATTCAATCATTCTATTTCCAGCCTCATTTCTATCACCAAGCCCATTATTTTCCAACTACTGTTCCTTCTTCATTGTTTCCTACATCTGCATTCCAGTCACCAGCATCCTGATTGCATGTTTGGTCAGTGCTCTAATTTATATCCTAAATCACAGAAAGGAATGGGGAACCTGTTAGCTGGTTACAAGTCTGTGATCAGAGACCTAAGCAGGTCACAGTGAACTAAACAACATTTGATTCCAGACAGTCACCATTCGAAAAAAGTAGCACTCCATCCATCATAGATCATATTACTAATACATTTTTCATTTTCTTCTCGCCTGGTTCCTCATCACGAAGTCAGCCAAAAAGACTTATTTTTAAAAGCAATTATAATTAAATGTTCAATGAGTCTGGCCTGCAGAGATACAACTTATTAATTCAAAATGAGGTGGTGTAACATCTCCAGTAAATACTCCAAGGTTTTAGGCTTTTAAAATTTATTTAGTTCATGAAAAAGGCATCTCCTTTAGGTTTTCATCTTAATCATTTGAATAACTATATCCTGTTCTGCCGCATCTTTAATTGCTCAAACAGCATGCTTCTTGCTAGAGTTCAGACAATTCAAAGCAAATAGACTTCCATCTGGGAACATCAACGGAGCACGGCAGCAAGCACAATGCCATGAAAAGGGAAGTCACACGCCTGTTCCGGGGTCACAGTCATGAGGAGGACGGCTCAGGAGGGAGGCCCGCTGGAGGCTGCAGCTATGTTGGCATTCCTTTCTGCCTCAAGTTCAGAGACAAGCTGGATCATTTCAGGGTGACTGAATTTCCCTATAAAAGGAGAGACAAAGAAAAAGACATTCCTAAATTAACAAGAATGTAAGTCACCAGCTCCCTCATGATCCCACGGCTCATCAGGGGCCACATTTTGTGAGCTAATTCATCTGTCACTCAAGCACAGAAGACCGAGTTCCGTGCTGGAGCACAGACTAAGACCAACACTTGGGGTTTATTCTCTGTCACCTTTGATAACACCAAGTACAGACACACCACATTTTATTGTACTTTGGAGCTACATGGGTTTTTTTGTTGTTGTTGTTTTTGATTGTTGTTTTGTTTTTTAACAAACTAAATGTCTGCCACAATATTCTGTCAAGTGCACTATTTGGCTCAGTTACACACTCACTTTGTGTATTTATGCCCCATTTGGTAATCCTCACACTATTTCCCGTTTTCATGAGGCTATTACACATTTAACAGACTACTCACCCACCAGTTTCAACTCAAAGCAACCTTAGGGTGGAATGTTTACTTGCTAATGGTGTGGGTTGATTTTATTTGGCTTCCTATTTAAAAATGCATTTGGGCTCTTGGGCCTGCAGCCCTAGGACCTGGTTTTAATTGTTTTGGTCAAACATTTTTCCAAGTGGTATAGCACTGGTCTGTCCATTTGCTATAAAGAGGTTAACTCGTGGTTGCTGTGATGCTAAACACTGTGACACTGATGTGTCAAATGAGATACTGGTTACCCATGATGGACAGTATTTGGCAGAGCTCCCCAATTAAAACAAGCTTGGAAGCAGGAGTGGCATCCACTTCTGAAATAGCTTGTCTTGGGAAACACTGTGAACATGGATACATGATGAAAGTTGTACAAGTGTTCAGGTCTTTCATTCATACGGTAGCTATGAGTCATCTATGACTTGACGGCACTTACTAACAACGATGGCATTTAACAATGACAACTCCTTATAAGAGGAGACTATCCATCACTCTTCCACGAAGTGGCTGGTAGATTTGAACTTGTCAACATTTCAGTTGATGGTATGATAAATTTCGAGCTATGCTCCTTAACAGACTACGGTATAGTGTAAACGTAACTTTTATATGTGCTGTGAGACAAACTAAACAAACAAAAACCTGTACAACTCACTTTACAGCAAGCAGTACTTGCTTTATAGCAGTGGCCTGAATGGACCCAAACTGCAGATCTCCGAATTTGTCTGTATATGGCAAAGCACTGTCAGGCAGGCAAGGCTTGAACTGATCCCCTGATGGGCCAAGGACACAGCTTTTCCTGCAGCCCATTATGAGGAGGTTGCTTTTTCCCTCAGGCCCCTCCAGTCAAGCCCTGAGGCCTGTCCTTCACACTCCTCAACACTCAAGACTGTCCTCTGTCCCCTCCTTAAAAGTCATGCCTTCAGACAACGCTGCTTACAGCCCCTCCTGACTTTCGTCAGTGACAGAATAAAAAAAATGCCCCTCTTTGTGCCTGGGTGATTACAACTTCTGTAATATCAGGATCCATGGTGATTTCAGTGTACAAATAGTCTACCCTTCCAGCAACCTGGCCTCTTTTTACTGTGACCTCCTCTCCTGCAATAATCTCTTTATCCTTCCTTAGCCACTTCCTCCTACAGATGCATCTGGAACCCATAAGTGCCAACAAGTGTCAGCATGAGCCCTCTCTGCTCCCAAGACCAGCCTCTCCACCTGTGTATTAGCCACAGGCCCAGCAATTCTTATGCCGCTCCGTCATAGACTAGTTCTGTCAGCACATATTGTTATCAAGTGCTGTCGAGTTAGCCTTGACTCATGGTGACCCCACACACCGCTGAATGACACACTGCCCTATCAAATGCCATCTCTGTGACAAGCCGAGGACCAGACAGTTGTGACCACTGGCTGATTTTCAGATGCAGATTGCCAGGGCTTTCTTCCGAGTCTATCTTAGTCTGGCAGCTCTGCTGAAACGTGCTCAGCATGATAGCAACAAAACAAGCCTCCAATGACAGCCAGATGGTGACCGTGTACCAGGTATAGTGACCATGAATCAAATCTGAGTCTCCCACAGAGAAAATAAGAATTTGACCACTGAACCATATACTCACAACTGGGTCAACTAGCAGCATCATGATAGATGGAGAAGAGACTGAGCTTGTTTGTTAACAGCTACAGTTTGCTTGGCTTCACAACCAACACTCTTGGCACCAATAGTCAGGAAATCAAAAGATGTATTGTACTGGGAGAATGTGCTGTCAGGGGCCTCTCCAGAGTACAGAGAAGCAACAATGTCAGTCTAGAGACGAAGGTGCACTTGATCCAGGCCATGGTCTTTGCTGTTATTACTTGCTATGCTTAAAGAGCTGAAAAGTGACAGAAGAATCATCAACGCCTTTGAGTTGTAGTGCTGGAGAAGAGTCTTGAAAAGAGGTAAATCTTCTTGGGAGAGGATAAAACCAAGTTTCTCCTTGGAGGCTAGGACTTTGAAGCTCTGTCTCACATTCTTTGGGCATGTGGCGAGGAAGGACTGGTTGCTGGAAAAGGCCATTATGCTTGGAAGGGTGGAGGGACAGCCCAGGAGAGGAAGACCAGGATAAGATGGCCCTTGTTCTCAGGTGGAAGGCCTTTTATCTTTCTCCACTGACTATGATATGGGTTGTTGGTTTAGAGTATATGCCCTTACTTATGTTGAGGAAATTTCTCTCTGTTTTGGCAATGGAGTTAGGTGTGTCAGAATTAGTGAGACTGGCTCAGGATAGAGCAGGCTTCAGAGCTGTTGTACACAGGGTCACTATGAGTTGCAGGTGACTCAACAGCACATAACAACAAATGCCACTGAACCACAACTGGATGCTCCCACTGGCACATAAACATGCCATTTTATCTCACAGCTTAAAACAAATCATAACCATACCCAGATCACGCATCCCTCTCTAGCTTATAGTCCTATCTGTCTACATTCCTCTAAAGTAAATGCTCTATAGCAGTTTATGCTCACTGTCTTGAGTTATTTCTTGTTTATTGTATTGTAGGAATCTCAGGAGTAGCATATCTCCATCCTTTCCTGGTAAACAGCCTTTCAAGTATACTTGGAATGCTATAGCCTTTGTTTAGAATGAAATTCTTAAAGGCAATTATTCCACAAAGCTTTTCAAGAATATCTGGTCCCTTCTCAAATCTTCTAAAATAGCCATCTTCACTGTCATATGGGGTCTTGGGGCCTAGCAAAGTTTCATCTTCTCTTGACTTCATCATCTTCTTTTCCCACAACCTAGGGCACAGATAACATGCTCCATACATCTCACCTTCACATCTTCTTTTCATGAGGAAACCTTAGCTCTGGAAGTTTCTTCTTCAAGTCAGGCTCTGGTCAGAAGAGTCTTGGTGAACTTATAGATTGCTTTTGGTACAACTGTCATTTTCATGATATTTAGTCTTCCTATTATGAACATGGTATATACTTTCATTTCTGTAGGTATCTTTTTGCTTCTGATAGTAGTGTTTTGTCATTTTCTTTGTATGAGTCTTTTGTATCTCTGGTGTGGTTTATTCCTGAGTATTTCATCTGTGGTTAGTCATTGGAATTGGCATTGTTTTTATTTCCTTTTCTGTGTTCTCTTTGCTACTGTAGAGAAATCTGACTGATTTTTGTATGTTGATCTTGTTTGCTGCAACTCTGCTGAATTAGCCAACTATGTTAAACAGTCTACTTGTAGATTCTTTAGGGTTTCCCAGGTATACTATCAATCATATCATCACCAAGTCTACTATAACATCATAAAGTTTTACCTCCCCTTACTTCCTTCTCTTATTGCTCTCATGACGACTTCCAATAAAATACTAAAGAGGAGGGGTGAAAGTGGGTATTCTTGTCTGGCCCTTGTTCTCAGGTAGAAGGCCTTCTATTTTTCTCCACTGACTATGATATGGGTTGTTGGTTTAGAGTATATGCCCTTACGTATGTTGAGGAAATTTCTCTCTGTTTTGTTGAGTCTATTTATTAGGAAAGTGTATTAGATTTTTTTAAAAGTCTTTTCTGTACCAATTGACATGATCATGGGTTCTTATTCTTTATTTTGTTGATATGATGTATATTTATTGGTTGACTTATTTTGAACTACACTTGCATTCCTGTTATGAAATCACATTTGTTCATGATATATTGTTGTTGCTGCTGTCAAGCTGAGGATGACTTATAGTGACCCTATGAACAGACTTGAGCCTTGTCCTATCCTGTGCCATCACAATCTCTGACATACTCAAGTCACTGCTGCAATTACTCTGTCAATCCATCTTGTTGAGGGTCTTCCTCTCTTTCGCCATCCCTCTAACTTTTCAGGCATGATGTCCTTCTAGCAACATGCCTAAAATATGCAAGACAAAGCTTTTACATTCTTGGCTTCAAGGAACACTGTGGCTGCAGCTCCTCCAAGACATATCTGTTTGTTCGATTGGCAGTCCATGGGATACTCAATAGTCTTCTCCAACACAATAGTTCAAAGATATCAAATTTCTTCTGGCACCTTTATTCACTGTCTAGCTTTCAGCAGCACAGCATATGACCATGGTCTGAATCAGGAACATTTTAGTCTTCAAATCAGCATCACTGTTCCTCAACAATTTGGAGAGGACCTTGACTTTAGACTTTCCCAGTTCTAAATGTCTCCTGACTGCGGATCTAAGTAAGATGATGTCATTGAGTTTCAATCACTATTCCATTTATCATGATATTGCCTATCAGTCCAGTGGTGGGAATTTTTATTTTCTTGATGTTGAGATGCAATCCATATTGAAGGCTACAGTGTTAGATATTTTGCTGACATGACGTATTAGGTCTTTCAATACGTTGTTGGATTCTACTGGCTAGGACTTTTTAATATATGTGCATGAGAGATAATTGGTCTAAAATTTTATTTTGTTGGTGTCTTTAACTTTGGTACGAGGATTATGTTTGTTTCATAGAATTAGTCTAGGAGTAGTGCATTGTTTTATAATTTTCTGAAATCCTTTTATAGAACTGGTATATCCATTTGATTCACAACTTTGAT